TTGGCCTTAAATAAATATTTGTGCCAATATCAATATACAATGTCTCATGTCTAGAGATGATTAATCTTTATCATTACTACATATCTAAGTGAGAATAAGTTTCTTCCTTAGATTTGCGAAACTTTTCGCACATGAGAGGCGTGTGCTAAATGCTTCGCAAAGTGTTTCCTCTCTCCTCATCAAGCAAACTTTTTCTTTAAAAATAAAACTTTTTCAACTTTTTTTTCATGCCTTTTGCTTTAGATCTTTTTTCCCTTTTGTCTTTTTTTTTCCTTCTTTTTATTTTTTTAACATTTTATTTAAATATTGTTTTAAATGAGTCACGCGCACAGAGCGCACGTCAATAAGAGGATAGTCACCACTGAATGTCTCTCTTGCTGATTGTGATCATCGCAGGATTGGAATAAAGAATCACGGGAAGGGTACAAGCAATCAAATTTGGCAAGACAATGCTTTCATAGGTTTAAAAAAATATATCAATTTTGCTCTGCATTTGCTTAGCAAAACTCTGACTACATATGTTTTAGTGCTTTTCAATTTTCATTCCATCTTTTTTTTGTAATTTATTTCGTTCAAAGTTGAAAAATCTCCATCGATCCTCTCAAAATTCATGCAGGTATAAGATCTACATAGAAGGAGTTGCTTGGTCTGTTAGTGAGAAATACATTCTTGCCTGTGATTCTGTTACCTTACTTGTAAAGTCCCATTTTTATGATTTCTTCACTCGGAGTTTGGTACCAATGCAACATTACTGGCCTATTAAGGTTGATGACAAGTGCAGATCCATCAAGTTCGCTGTTGATTGGGGCAACTCTCACAAGACGAAGGTACATATGTTATCCTATTAATCTAGCACATGTCATGGCGAATACAAGCTAAATCTTATTCAAAATGTTTTGTCCGTCCGAATTTCGAGTTACAAAACTTGTTTTTCTTAGACATATGAAAAGCTATATCAAAGAATGTATCTCTTCCCTTAAGTTTTCCAGCTTTCAATTTGAATCTCTTCCTAAAGCTTCCAAGGGAAAAGGTGTTATAATTTTAGACAAGAAACCTAGAAGCCGTCCTGAATGATAAGTTCTAAATATAATTTCCAAATTTTGTCTTCTTATCCTTTTTGTTTTCATGGATGCCATCAGGCAAAATCCATTGGAAAGGCGGGGAGTAGGTTCATTCAGGAAGAGTTGAAGATGGAGTATGTGTATGACTTCATGTTTCATCTTTTAAACGAATATGCCAAGCTCTTGAAATTTAAGCCTAGCATTCCTGAAAAAGCAGTCGAATTCTGTTCCGAGTCCATGGCTTGCACAACAGAGGGGCTTGGGAAAAAGTTCATGATGGATTCAATGGTGAAGGGTCCTGCAGATAGTAGACCATGCACCATGCCACCTCCTTATGGTCCTTCTTCTTTATATTCACTTATTCAGAGAAAGGCCAGCTCAATTGAAGAAGTGGAAATGTGGCAGGACAAGTACTTTGGAAAATTAAAATAAGAAGCCAGATTAAGGGAAGACATTTCACTTAATTAAGTTCACAATTTAGGATTTATATTCTCTACTAAAAATGAACTTAAGTTATGTTGTTTTTTACTAATATGACGTATGATGTATGTTTTAAACTGAAAATTAAATAACATTGAAGGATTCAAAATCATTGGCAATAACACTAACATAAATATATGGTTGCTTCTGGTAGAAATATATGCTAATTACTTAAAACCTTACAGCGCCAATCTTGAGCTAATCACTCTTGTCGTTTTTGGAAGAAAAGACCATCTTTTCTGGCCAATTCCTTTGCTTGTTTGATATCACTACTTGTCAGTTCTATGTAGACATGAGCTATAATTCTAATCCTTATTCCAGCTATGTTTTTTAAGTTAAAAAAGAGTATAGTAGAAGTGACATTTTAAAATCAAACCTGCAAAATGAACATGATCTCGCTTTCAACTAGAGAAAACGACAGCAAATTTAAAAACGACTCATCTCAGAAAACGTAGGATATCCTTTATATAGCTACAGAGGTATTCACAAAATGACAACGAAAGACAATATCCTTCAGTATAGATAATAGCTTTGTGAGGAATAATCCCAGAAGAAATCATTTATATACATAAGAAGAAGAACTAGAAGAAAAAGAAGACGATAAGAGTTCATATTCACAAAATCATTTATAGATAATAGCTTCTTTTTTTTTTTTTTTAGTCGAAAAAGAAGACGATAAGAGTTTAAAACAAGAGCATAGCTCCATAATACGAAAACGACAATTATTCATAAAACGACAACATCTCAAAAAGGATAAAGAAATGATAACAAAATGGACGCTATAAACAATCAAATGACACCGTTTTATGAGACGACAACATCCTAGAAAAAGATGACGTTATGAAAAAACCCAAGAATTGGCAAAAATACAACATATCTAAATATAAGAATCTCATAAAAGAAATCATATAAAATAATTGATTTCAGGGAACGACATGAATCCAAGATTAACGGTGACATCTGATAAAAACAAGAGGATCACATAAAAAGAACTACATTCGGATATACGACAAGCCTCTAAGAAAAAAAAAAAAAAAGATTATTGACAAAAAGAAAGATTCAATGAATGAAGTAAACTAAAATGAAACGCCCATATACTTGGATGCATTTTTTTGGTGCGCACACATGGAGAAAAAATAAAGATTTATTACACAAAAGAAAATGTGTCATTTAAACAACGTACAATAAAAGAAGGAAAGATTTTTATATCAGTATGAGAGGATTTATGCACTAATGCTAGTACTTGAATAGGCCATGGTAACTACTGCTGTACTTCGGAAAGCAACAATAGAAGCAGATGGGTGAACAGAAAACCATTTGCTTACTAGTTACTGAAAAGACTTTTTATGAATACTTATAAGAAATACATTTCACCAAATATAGAATTTAGACATAATTTAATATCTCGACATTTCAGGCCTTTTTTTTCTGATAATGATCTCAATAAAAAAAAATTATAAAAAAAAAAAAAAACCAAGTCAAAAAGTGTTATCATAGGGCTTCAAAACCCATTTTCTTTGAAGTATTTAAACGAAATGTACATGATCGAAAATTTGAAACTAGCCAAAGTAAATCCTCTTTATAGCCAAAGTGATTCAATGGTGAAGGGTCCTACAGATAGTAGCCAATGCATCATGCCACCTCCATATGGTCCTTCCTCTTTATATTCACTTATTCAGAGAAAGGCAAGCTCAATTGAACAAGTGGAAATGTGGTAGAACAAGTACTTTGGAAAATCAAAATAAGAAGCCATAGACAAAGTTTTCTTTTATCTAAAATTTTGTTTAAACAAGTACTTTGGAAAATCAAAATAAGAAGCCAATGCATCATGCCACCTCCATATGGTCCTTCCTCTTTATATTCACTTATTCAGAGAAAGGCAAGCTCAATTGAACAAGTGGAAATGTGGTAGAACAAGTACTTTGGAAAATCAAAATAAGAAGCCATAGACAAAGTTTTCTTTTATCTAAAATTTAACGAATAGAGATAAAGTAGCAATTCACACTTTAGGATATTTTTTTCTTCATGTATGATATTTTTTTTCCCATTCATTTTGGCCAGACTAAGGGAAGACATTTCAATTAATTAAATAGCAATTCACACTTTAGGATTTATATTCTCTACTAACAATGATCTTAACTACTCTGTTGTCTTTTATCAATTTGACGTCTTATGTATGTTTTAAGAACCTGTTAAACTAGAAATTAAATAAAATTGAAGGATTCAAAATCATTGGCGACAACACTAACATAAATATATGATTGCTTCAGGTAGAAATATATGCTGATTACTTAAAACTTTACAGCGCCAATATCGAGCTAATCACTCCTCTTTTTTGGAAAAAGGCCAATTACTCTGCTTGTTTGATATCACTAATTTCAGTTCTATGTATACATGACCTGTAATTCTTTTCATATATTACGTATCTAATCCTTATTATATAGCTATGTTTTTAAAGTTAAAAAAGATTATTGTGGGAACAAATAAAAAACCATTTGATCTGCTCGCTTTTGAGAAGTGACCGTTTTAAGATCAAGCCTGCAAAATGAACATCATCTCATGTACAACTAGAGAAAACGACAGCAACTTTAAAACGACAAATCTTGAAAAAGTAGGATATTACAGGGGGATTCACAAAACGACAACGAAAGAGAGAATATCGTGAAATATCAAACTTTTTTCAGTTTTTTTTAAGATCAAGCCTGCAAAATGAACATCATCTCATGTACAACTAGAGAAAACGACAGCAACTTTAAAACGACAAATCTTGAAAAAGTAGGATATTACAGGGGGATTCACAAAACGACAACGAAAGAGAGAATATCGTGAAATATCAAACTTTTTTCAGTTTTTTTTTTTTTTTTTTTTATTTTGAAAGATGGACTTTCAAACAAGAACATTAGCTTCATAATACGTAAACGACAATTATTCATAAAACGACAGTATCTTAAGAAAGACAAAGAAATGATGACAACATGAAGGTATATACCATCAAACGACAACGTTTTATGAAACGACAGCATCGTAGAAAAAGGAATTCGCTAAAAAAAACATTATATCTAAATATTAAAATTGGAAAACATAAAAAATGACTGATTTTAGGAAATGACACGAATCCAAGATAAACGACAACATCTGATAAAAACAAGGGGATCGCATAAACATCATTTGGTTCAAGCTAGTAAAACTATATACTAAATTAAATCACGTACACTTCATATTAAAATAACCCGTAAGAATGTTACACAACATAACACAATATGACAATAACATAACCAATAAAACATTACAGAGTACCAAACATAATATCTCAACAGTGCATTTATTAAAACATGCTAAAACAACATTAGACAATACCGAACATAATATCGCAGTACAAAAAACCATAATCACACACAAAAGGGGAGATACGTTTATTGAAACTCACAAACAGGGCAAACATTTGATAACCTCCGTGAATTACTCTTCGTTGGTGGTCCTCTGCATCCTCTTCTTCAGCCTTGCCACTTTCACCGCAACCACCACAATTATCTGGTCTTTGGTGCTTTCAACAAAGCGGAAATAAGCGACTCTCCAGTTCCTCTTGAAAACCAAAGTCCCAATAACTCCCCATAAGCCGGTTGCATATCCAGCTAATACGACGAAGTAAAACAATATCTTTTCTTTCTTGTCTTCTTCATGATCTTCATCTTCATGGTCGTTGCTTGTTGGAGGTTGGACTGCATCACCATCACCCGGACATTTTTTCTGCAACGGTTCCCCGCGGAGTTGAAGATTGCCAGCGTAGATTGATGTCGGCTTTTCTAGAGTTTGAAGCTGATTGCCCTTTGGAATTCTCCCTGACAAGTCGTTGTATGACAAGTTGAGGTGGTTTATATATGTCAGCGTTCCCAAGCTCTGTGGAATTGCGCCAAAAAGTTGGTTGTCTGAGAAGTCAAGTGACTCGATTAACTTGAGTTGCCGATGCTATTTGGGATGTTTCCGGACAAATGATTATGCGACAGACTCAGATTACGCAATTCCGGAGAGTCACCTAGCTCCTCGGGGATGCATCCGACGAGCTTATTTCTTGAGAGGTCCATACTATCAACCAACAGCAGCGTTGTTGTGTACTCAAGGGTTGCCCCCTTCGTCACTACTGAGACCTTCTCTTTATGCCAACACCAGGTCCTCGTGCAATAGTTGCCGGGGCAACAGGTGGCGGTGGTTCGACAATTGATGGAGTAGGTGCTGCAATTATTGCCGGACTAGGTGCACTAGCCACAGGGCCAAAAGCAAGCGTTATATTATGTTGGGGCACATCATTGTCCTTGGTCATACCTGTAAGCTTGCCAAAACAATGAGGAATCCTTCCTGACAAATTATTTAGCGCAAGATCCAATATCTGCAATTTGGAAAGTCGACATAGTTGTGATGGAATACTACCACTGAACGTATTATTGCGAAGCTTGAGAATTCTTAATAATAAAAGGCTTTCCCCAACCCATGAGGGTATATTTCCAGAAATTTTATTCTCGCCAAGATCCAGTAGTTCTAAGCTTGTGCAATCACTTAGGGTCAGAGGAAGCTCTCCATGGAGACTACTATCATCTAGGTGCAACCATGTCAAGTAAGAGAGGTTTCCTATCGAGCTTGGAATGGTTCCTATGAACTTGTTGGATGATAGATTTATCAAAAATAATCCTTGTTGCCATCCCCAGCAATCAGGTATTTCCCCAGATAGATTGTTCTTTGAAAGATCTAGAAGCAGCAGGTTATCCAAATTACACATTGTACTTGACATTGAACCATTTATCAAGTTGCTGCCCAGACGTAACACCTCTAAACTATGAAAATTGTCAACATCACAAGTTGGAAGATTTCCACTTATTTGGTTTGTAGAGAGATCCAAATAGGAAAGATAAGACATGTTACAAAGCCATACTGGGAAACCACCAGAGATGCTAGCATTCGACATATCTAGTTTTGATATTTCCTTTTGTGTCTGAAGCCACCGGGGAAATTCTGATCTGATTCTACAAGATGACATGTTAATGTGGTCGAGGCTAAAAGGAGGAACCCAATCTGATTTCACATTGCAAGTTAGATGGTTGGAACTAATATCCAAATGTTTCAGTTTTGAAAGGTTGGAAAAGGTACGTTCAGAAATAACACCCTCCAAAGAATTGGAAGCAATGTCAAACTCCACTAGGTTTACTAGTCGCCCAAGACTATCAGGAATGGACCCAATCAACTGATTATGTGAAAGAGATAAATATTCCAAGGTTGACAATCTCCATAACGATGGTGGAATGGTCCCATTCAATTGATTATTTTCAAGATGTAAACGTCTCAACCCTGACAATTCCCCGAGTGAAGATGGAATTGGACCAGAAAATGAATTTCCAGCAAGATTAAGCTCCTTCAAACCCTTCAGCTGCCCTAAATAATCTGGCAAATCACCACTAATTCCACCAGAAGTTAAACTTAGGTACTCTAAATGGTACACGAGGCATCTTGATGAATTCTTGTTACTTCCTAACACATCACCGAGAAATGAATTTCCAGACAAATCCAATGACCTTATAAGAGAACAAGCCTTATTTAATATTGACAACATCCCACCGTCAATGTTCTCAAACTCATTCCACCCAAGATTGAGATCAACAACGCTCTTAGAATTAACCAGCGACAGTGGAATGGTGGAATTAAAGTAGTTTTTTGAAGGATCAAGCACTCTAACCGCAGTCATGTTGTGTAGAACATCAGGAATTGGTCCTCTAAGTTCATTATTCCCTAGATCAAGACTTTGAATTCTTGCAAAGAACGTGGAATTCATAATACCACGAGGAAAGTGAATGTTGCGGATTCCGCAACTATTTAAGCCCAAGTATATTAGAGAAGGAAATTTATTGAGTACCTGCATCACATCAAATGCCTTGTTGAGGTTGAAAAGCACATCTCAACGTGTTTTAAAAAATGACAAAGCTAAAAACCCATTGAAAATTATGAAAATATAATAGTGCCCCCTTATAGTCTTGATGACTCAAATCAAGGGTCTGCAAGCTAGAAAGGTTTCTAAGCTACGTTGGAATCCTTCCTCCAATGTAAGAAGTTTTTTTATACGCCTACATGTAATTTAATAAATTTCTCGCATATAATTTTAATATCATGGTTCAATAAATTGAGTGCATAAAATAATATTGACTTACGAGGAGACAATTTTTTTTAAATGAATACTGAAAGGTTATGATTTAATGAAATTGCCACATTTACCATAAAAAAAATAAAAAGGTTACACCTTAAGTGTTTCAAGTGTTGTGACTTTTGTAATAGACATTTATCTTATGAAATATTGTCACTTTCTCTAGTAGCGTATCTATGTAGAAAAAACGGTAACTTCTCTAATAAGTGTCATTTATGAAAATTGTGACTTTTTGTTATTGATATTTTTATGTGAAGACTTGTGACTTTTCTTATATGTATTTCCCTATAGATGTAATAAAATATTATAACTATTAGAATAGTTGTCTAGAAAGGCTGTAAATATTCTGAATGAGTGTATTTTGGTGGAAGATACTCGTTCATTGGCTATAAATTGTACGCTCCCCACCCATCACGATTAGTACAATTTTTTCGTCAATTTTTAGTACTGAAAGATATATAATAAACTCATTTTTTTCATATCAAGCGTTCTTGTAAATTTTGTAAGCTCATATTTTTTTCATGATATCAAATGATTAATTAGCGAAAATCATAAAGTTTTAATATTTTAGATTATAGTTTTATACAACATTATTGCTTGCATCTTAAGAATTGTTTGGCATTTGGTATCAGAGTAATTAGGTTTAAGAATTTTTAATTTTTCTTACAGCTATTAGCTATAGTTGTTAGAAAGTTTTTCGCAATTACATTGTGGATTATTTTCATAAATGCTCCCAATTTATGTACGCCACCGTGCAATATGGAGATCGGCGCGGCGAGAGAGAAGAAGATCGCAACACCATCAGTGGAAGGTTGGTTTGTACCACTGTGAGGGCTTGGTTCGCGATGCCGTCAGAGTAGGCTGGGTCAGTGTTGTGGTCGCTAGAAAAGAGGGCTGGGTAATTCATTCTATCGAGTGGATCGCATTCCCGTCGCGCAACACATTTGTCGATGGGATCATCCATAGCTGTCCGGGGAGAAGGGGAAAGATCCAATGTCGTCGTCGGAGCTTTTCATAGTCATGATCGTGGTCTGATGCAACACATTTGGGAGAAAAAATATACTAGATTTGTAGAGCAAGAAGGAGGAGAAGAAAACGGAAAAAATGTTAGGGTTTTTTTTATTATTTTTTGATATTTATACTTTTTAATACTTTTAATTAGAATTTAATGTTTAGTTCGCTTTTGATGGTATGCCACGTAGGCACTTATGTTAAATTTATAGACGGTTTTTGACAGGGAGGATAATTTGATCTCTTTTCTATATATTTTGGAGTGTTTTAAATCGTGTTACAAAATCAGAGGAAGTTTTAAAATAAAGTACATAATTTGGAGTACATTTATGAATCTAATCCTTACATTTTTATAGAATATATACACCGTACAACTTTCTAAATGAACGTCCATTTAATGTTAAAAGAAACCTTATGACTGGATATTATTTTTATGATGCACATATTGGTAATAATAATATTATTCAAAATTTGTTAACTACGTAAATTTTATATGTACAAAGACGTGTACTAAAACGCTATGCAATTATTGATTTTAAAATTTACAAAGACGTGTACTAAAACGCTATGCAATTATTGTTTTTGTAAAATCATATTCTTACGTGTTTTTTATATGATGAAAAAATGCACAGCTCTCTTTATTTACACAAAATTATATGGGACAAAATTATTTTAATACCTTGTATTATAATAAAATATTAAGTTGATATTCTTTGTTTTTTATAATATTAAAATAGTACCCTCAAGTTTTAGCAAACATTTTATGGTATCTTGAACCTATTTTTTAGGACATAAATTGTCAAATTTACTTTTTATTAATATTAGACTAGTCTGAATTTCTAATTAACAAAAAGTAATACCTAAAAATATTTGTAAACCTGTAACAAACACAACTCCTATATATTGCTAAACGATGTCGTTTCTTTAGGAAACCCATTTTATTGTGTATAAACAAAGCGAGAGCAAGCTAAAATGTTTCCATGGAGGGGAAAAATGGAGTTCTTGGGTAAGTTTGTCATTTCACGTAACAAAAATAAACTCAGGGTACCAAAAAAGTATTTCTAATATTTAAGGGAACCATTTTAATATTGTGAAAAACACAAAGTACCAACTCAATGTTTTGCTGTAATACAGAGTACTAAAATGATTTTTTTTTCTAAATTTATATATTGACTTAATACTGTACATGACGAATGGACACGTTTTTTTTTTTTTGTTTTGTTTGATTTACTGTTAATATCTTGAGTCATCGTTTTCTGTAAGTATAATTATTATATTACTCAATTCGAAGTATTATATTATGTTTGTTTGTTAGTCGTCAAAGTAGCTCATGAAAGATGGAATAAAAATTGTCAGTTGTCCTTTAATTACTAAATGCAAAGTGATAATAGATATATCTAATTAGAGATTTGTGTATCCAAAGATAGCAATACATATTGGATTATGATATATTTAATTATTAAATTATGTCAAAGTTAATTTACCATCACGATAGTTACTTATAATATATTATAGTATTTTACGAAGGAGAACTTTAATTGATGTTTATTGTCATTGAGTAATCTCAGTTGAGTGCCGTACCAGCCTCCACAAGGGAGGTAACTCAAGCTCCACAAGGGAGAAAAAAATAATAATAATGATGTCCTCCGACTCAAGGGAGGCATTCAAGTTATAATCACGGTGTCATGGGGGACCTTGCAAACCCTCACGTTCCGATGATTGCGCGCAAGTGGTACGAGCACTCTCGGGCCCATCAGTAAGAAAGATAAGATAAGATAATAAAATTATGATAAGACATCATAATTAAGCATAATCAGC